TTCTTCATCTTCAGCATAGCTGAGGTCCATCGGCTCTGGACCGCTCGAAGAGCTTGCGCTACCAGCGCTCCAACCAGGTCGCGCCGACCTGAAGTTGTGCTCGGCATTCAATGCCACATCCACCGCCTCTTCAAAAGAGTTAGGGTGTACACGGAGCACTTCCGTTCGAGCTGCGCTCACACGAAGTCCCTCCATGAACACGGTCACGCTGACCAGTTCCGGAAGAGGGTCCGCCGCCATTCCGGCGATAAGAGTTCTCAACTTTTGGACATAGTCCAATAAATCCTTCTTACCCTGGCGGGTAGCAAGGAACTTTGACCGGATACAATACGCCTGATTAGGCGGCGCGAACACGCGCGAAAGCTGTTGCTTCAGCTGATCCCAAGTGGGAAATGCAGCGTCAACAGACGTGCCGCACGTTAGTGCCCATTCGCGAGCGCGACCTCCAAGCCTGGAGATAGCCAGCGCCACGCGCTGATGCTCAGACTGGAGCAGGGCCGATCCCATGGCCATCTCGACCTCACGGGTCCAGAGAAGGAGATTCTCTCCATCCTTCCCCTCGAAGGTTTTTACGCTCACCATGAGCGGTTTCAGTCTCATAGACTCTTCACGCGTCATCGACGCCGCCGCCGTTGCGGCGCTCATCTTCTCTTGGACATGCTCCAAGAGCGCGTTCTCGTAGCGGGAGAACGATTCCAGCCTGGCAGTGACCGCCTCTGGACCTTGCGATGCAAGATGAAGCGACGTCCTCCGGGCCAAGCAAGGACATAAGCTTAGTAAGCGCGTCCTGCTGCGCCGGGGGCAAATTCGCGAACACGAGGTGTTCCATCCTCGCAGAGGATATAGTCAATCGACTCAGGAGCGGGATTGACTACAAGTGCTACCAAGTGCAGCGGGGCTGCCGTAGCTTTAGCGTCAGAGGAAGACGTTCGACTCAAAGAGTCACAAATACTAAGTTCCTTATCCAAAGGACACTTACAGCCCAAGACCAGGGCTCAAAGTTAACACCTTACTTTTATGCTTCAAAACCAGAAGTCTTTTATTTACTATTATTGCGGCCAAGCCGCCTAGGGGTAAATGTATCTCTTTAACTATCTAGCATAGTTAAACCTAATCAAATGCATAACGTGTGGCTTTCAGCCAACGTACTGAGAGACCTTGTTAACTCTCCAACTTATGTACTGAGAGTTTGTTAACTCTCCGGGTACTTCGTACCCCTGTGTGCTCCACACCATGTAACCCCGTTACATGCTCGGTATTCGCTCCAATAGAAGACTTGTACACCTCGCGTTCGCGAGCCAGCTTCTTTTGCAAAGTGCTGATGAAAACGTCCCGAGCTTGGACCTCGCAGTGCAGACGATTCAAGTTCTCTGCGTGTCGCTCCATAGTGGCCTGAACAGTGGCGAGCATGGCGTCGTTCTTGGCGTTCGACTCGCGGAGGATCTTGACATTGTGGTGAAGAGTTTCAATCTCAGCGTTGGCAGCCTTGAGGAACGCCTCCGCGTTCTCACGAGCCATGATTTCGGGTGCCACCGAGCGTGCGGCGGCAGCAGCCTCGGACTGAGCAAACCGCAACTGACGCTCCAAGTCAGCAACTCGTTCGGGTAATGCCGACAGCGCGTCAGGAACAGGCTGTACCGCAGCGAGGACATCATCGAAATCAACAGCAGTCTCGAGGCGACGTTGAGTGTGTACATCGCCGTGGAGAGGAGGCGCAACGCTGAGCTGCACTTGGTGACGAGTCATTGCAGTCAAGTACGTAATTATCGAGGTCATCATGTGATCGCCCGATGCCTCCGTACTTTCAGCCAGCATGGCGCGCAGCGAATCTTCGGTGAGTGGTGGTGTACTACCAGCAGTTGCAGGAGGAGCAGCAGGATCCATCTCCGCGGATTCAGCGACCGACGGGAGTGCTGCAGGAGCTGTCGGAAGGAAGTGTAGCAGACTGAGGGACGTTCGAAACCTCGGCCTTGCCCTCCTGAGAAACAAGTCGAGTAATGCGAGGTGATGAGCAAGGTACCCGATGATTCAAGAGAAGGATGGGCTTACGTACCTCCCAGCTGCTCACGCTCGCGACGTCTACGAGGATTGAGACGCTGAAACGCGTCGGACACGGCTCGATTCAGACGCTTGGACATACGGTGGCGAGATGGTGAATTGAAGAATGAAGAAATGTCACAACGGGCACCAGTACCGTGGCTTCCATTGCGACAGGGGCAGTTGTGGTGTAGTGATTTCTCCGTGGTTGCGGATTATCACCCGTCGACAAAGACGTGACACCGCCCAAGTTGTTCAAGCGACGAACCCTCGGTCGGGTGATGTACGGAGACGCCAAGGTGCAAGGGACTCGACGGCGTCACCTCCGAGTTTTCAACAAGTATCGGATACGGCCCTATGTCACTGAATCCAGGGTGTCCTTATTATTAATAATGGACTGGCCGGATTCGCATTCAGCGGACCATCTACGGTACGAACCCTCAGTGGCGGTTGGGATGAGTTCGCGGAATACTCAGCGACCTTTGGAAGGCACGTTAACCGTCTGGGACAGGGCGCGGACCGTTAAAAATGCTCATGCGACAGTGCAGACGACGCTTGGCATGCAAGAAGATCCATAACGGATCATTGTTCACTTGATATTTGTATATTTGATTAGGACTTCTTATTAGGACTAGACCCGAAAGGGTAAGCTTAAATACAGAACAGAATTTCCACTCAAGCACACAGAGCGACGTCCGGCTTCAAGGTAAGCGTCAGGTCAAGCTTGTTTGAGTGTGTTATGCCTGTCGGTGAACTCGAAGCTCTGTAGCGAGGGTTCATCCGGCAAGGCCAAGAGACTTTGTGTATTGGCCGATTATTATCGGGAGGTTTTACGTGACGGCTTATTGTTGCCTATTTGCACGACTGGGAGTGCTTGAATTGCCTCCCTTTTATTCTTCCAACCGAGTGTTGAACACTCGGTGATCTCGTAAAAGGCTTACCCGTGCCTGGTACCCTTCCGCTGTTGGGACCACGAGGATTCAAAACACCTGCTAGCTTTGCTCGTGCTAGTAGCGTGTTTTACTGGTTGGCCTATATAAGTAGTTTACAAGGTCCAGTTTATCCCGGTGCAAGGGCAGAACTGGGGTCTTCAGGTCCGCCCGAACGATCGTTTACTATCCTAGTAGACGTATTGTTGTGGGAACATCCTAACTACATTTATAGCTAGAGTTCACGTGGGAATTCCAACACCACACGAGTGTCCAGCCGGCGCTGGAGCCGGAGCCGAAGGTGGAGCAGGAGGTGGCGTCAAGTGCCGGGCTGCAGCTTGTGTCGTGGGGGGAACTTCCGGCGTATAGTGTAGTGAAGCCCGACGACGAGAAACCCCTGACTGGAGTGGAGTTGCTTGTGTAGGTGTACGAATACGTTCAGGATATGGCAACACACGTGCAGAGCGTGGGGTATCCGAATACGACCGCCAGCGTTATGCATAAAAGCAGAAGTTGCTGTCTGTAGTGGAGAGCATCGCAGAGTCCGGGGCATCGAGGCTCAATATTAATACTAGCTAGGATGTTGCCGTTTGCTGCAGACGGAAACCTCTTGAATGTGAATAATCTATGCAATACGATAGGCTGGGGGGAGATTGGGTTGGCGCGATTTACCAATCCCCCAATCCAATTTGGAGTAGAACGCACAATGTACCCTCTGTATCTCATGATCAGATTTTGGGTACATTACATTAGCTCGGCTGCTAATATTACCGGTACCGTATGTGAATCACCCCCAAACAACTGGATTCGCCGACAATAATTATTAAATAATGTTCAAAAAGACGAGCAACGAGTTCGATGCCCGGACAAGAATGGCCACTAACTGCATTAACAGCAATCCATTCGATGCTCATGACCGAGACCCCTTCCCTTCTTTCATGACGGCACTGGCTGATGCGCAGTCACCAGAGGAGTTTGGATGCACAGGTTCAGCACTGGACTGGAGCATTGACACTCTCGCTGAGCTAAAGCCCGTCATTTTCTCACCGCTACCGCAGCAGAAATTTGGTGCCAGCACGTTGGGGACACCGCACGGAACTATCGGATTTTTCGAGGACGAGAAGCAGTACGAGGTGCTGCGGACGCCGCTACAGCCAACCCCGTTAATTAAGCTGAATCGACGCTGCAACGAGACCATGCCACGATGTGAAGGAACACCGCGAAAGCGACGGGGTAACATGATTAATTTGCCTCATCCGATGGCGAAGCATCGGCGATTACCAAACCAAAGCTCGACAACGCCATCTCGATCTACTCCACCCCGACCGTCCAAATGGAACCAACTCGGTACCACCGAGAATTCAATTTGCGAGTGGAAGTCCCCAGCGATGAGACCCCCTCAGTGGTCAGCGTCGCCCATTGGTATACTCGACAACAGGCAACAGCGTTGTGCAACGCCGTCCACGCTGCATTTCGATGCAAGGACCCCGTTCGTGCGCTCGCCACGAAGCACGACGCCCAAGCAGAGCTCAAAGCTGCGGCTGTCCTTTGGACTTTCGCCCATCACTTTTCTATCCCCACAAGCGGAGGAGAAAATCGAGGAAGAGAAGAGCAGTGAAGATAAACCGAGCAACGGAAATACTCTGTTTCTCGACTCGCTGTTTGCGAACGAGTCCGAGAAAGAAATCAGCGAGCAGCAAGCTAAGATGGAGGATGGTGGCCAGCAGGATGAATGCACGTCATCGTCCCACGGCAACTCTACCTCTGCTAGGATGCGCTTCTCATTGATGGAGCCAGTGCGGTCGTCGATGCCACGGCGCCGACGGCAACAAGCTTTTATGGAGGCGATGGAAGCAGAGGCCCGTAGCAGCGAGACCTGCGGCAAGGTGTCGCCCATGAGGTAAAGCAGCAAAATACTACGTAGTAGTGAAGAAGCATTACACGATGACGTTAAAGCGTGTGGCGTAAAAGCAAGACGATGTCTCTTCTTGTTAATTAAAATGCACAATAACTTAGCAACTTCTTTTCAGCAACTCAATTGGCCTTGGGGCTGTTGGCGTGACTGCGGCGCGACACCAGCCGACGTTGCACACGGAAATCTCCAATCCAATATCCGTCCGAGCGCAGCGCGTCCTCCAGCATGTCGGAGCCGGATCTGCTCGAGGTGCCGTGCGCGTCCTGCTTAGATGTGAACGTCGCGCGACGCGAGCGCTCGTTGTGCTTGGTACTGCCCGTCATACCCGTGTCAGCGCGCCGCCTCGGCACTCTGTGTTTCCTCTCCTTTACATCTGCGTTCATGCTGCGCGATACTGTTCCTCTAGATGTCATTTTACTGCATCTACTGTCGCTAGCCGACGATGTGGACCGGGGGCGCGTGGCGTGTCTCCGTTGGAGCTCTCGGTCTGTGGTGTTGCTGCGAGTGCGCACGTCCACGAGGCTCATACTATGTCTGGAAGAGGAGCAAGCCGACATCTTAGTAGCTCTGCTAGATCCTCCGACCTCACTGTCGTCGTCCTCCGACTCAGTCTCGGACGGTGGTGCCGTCGCCACCTTCCTGAGCTCAACCTGTAGCGACTCTAGCGTTTCACGCGCCATAGGTGCCACCACTGCGGTCACGGGCGACTGGTCTTCCTGCTTATATCGTTTTTCGTCTTCTTCACCATCTTCTTCTTCCTCATCTGGCTGTGTGTGTTCCTGCGTCTGCTCAATTTGGGGCACGCGGGAGCACGAGTAGAAGCCCCTGGCGTAGCGTCGTCGTCGCGAGTCCACGAACCAGCAGGCGAGCGCCACGGCACAGATCGCCAGTGTATAACGCGGTGTCACGAGCTGCACCAGCATTACAGCGAGGCGCACAGTAGCGGCCGTCAGCAGTATCAGCAGTAGCGCCAGCGCCCCGCCGGCTACGCACATGAGCTGCAAGCCCATCCAACTCGATTTTTTGTGTAAAATAGTAAAACGCCTCTGTGTGAGCTAATTAATAGCGAAATGAACTCCAGTGCAATTTTGGCCTGAAAGGTGTTCGGTGACGGAAATGTGTTTTCTTTAAGATGTGCAAATTCAGGATGTACTGAAGTTTCAGCAGCCGGTAAGTTCATTTCTGTGTGCCAATGGTATTACAGTATTTTGCCTCAAATAAGGAAGCTATAATAAATAATTCCGTTTGGCACTGTATCTTCACAGCAGTGCTTAGTTTACAACCTCTATTACGAAAATACCTTGGGAATTACATTCATTTCAGGACTCTCTTATTGAGCCAAAATCCTGTAGTGACTCACTAAAACATGCACATGTAGTTCAAATTGGACAGTACAGTGCATGTATCAGCAAATTATAGTGCTGAATCTGATTTATTAATAGCGAGCATTGCGGCTTGCCCGCGGCTTGATTTTCATCGTCCACAAACATGTCGCCGAGAATATCCTACATACAGTGCCAGTGCCGTGACCTGCAGCACCCAATCTCGGGTGCACGTGGGCGATATTAGCATACCGGTACATTTACCGCACAGAGCCGAGCGTGGGGTGGGTACCGGTAAATATTCTTGTAAATATGAAGTACATGTACATGTACAGTGCATGTATCAGCAAATTATAGTGCTGAATCTGATTTATTAATAGCGAGCATTGCGGCTTGCCCGCGGCTTGATTTTCATCGTCCACAAACATGTCGCCGAGAATATCCTACATACAGTGCCAGTGCCGTGACCTGCAGCACCGGTGCACGTGGGCGATATTAGCATACCGGTACATTTACCGCACAGAGCCGAGCGTGGGGTGGGTACCGGTAAATATTCTTGTAAATATGAAGTACATGTACATGTACCAGTGGTAATAGAACGCATTGGTGGGAGTCGCAAGTTGCAGCCATGCGTCGTGGAGACATTTCAAAAGAGCACGAAGAAGCAGACGGCGATCGCAGCGTCCATTTGAACGTCGTATGCGCGAGAATTGAGGTGGCGAAGCCACCACCATTTGGCCACTGGAAGCGGTGCGTCACACAACTTGTGTCACACAAGCCTACATCCACCTGCCAATACCCACAGTGTTTTCTATAAGTTGCAGCTCTTGGTGTCCGAGAAGCGAGACCACCGAAATGCCCTATGCTCATGGCTGTGCCAGGACATTTATTAATACTTGTACATCTACTGTATTATATCTACGAAGTAATATCTACGAAGTAAAAAACAATTTGCTCTTGCCCCCACATCGTACTACGATGTGGGGGCCCCTACGATTCGTAGGGGCAAGAGCAAATTGTTTTTTGCGGTCCGCAGATGGGTCCAACATGTCATGTTGGACTACCTTTGCAGCCATCTGCGGAGCGAGGCTACTACCACAAAAATACTTTGCTCTTCAAAAACGATATCGGCATAGAGAGGTTTCGCGCGTATCTTCGATGGTTGCATACGTCCTTTGAAGCGCGCGGTGATGCTCGGACTGCTGCTGTCTGCACTGCTCTTGGCGCGTGGGGCCCGGGGCTCAGGTGACGAAGCGAAGGACCAATATGCTGTTTTGGCCAACCATCAGCTTCAGCGCGACGATCAGCTCGAGATGCCGCTGCAGGAGCTGCTAACGAAGCCGCTGGACGATGAGGAATTGGACGCGCGACTGCAGCGAGATTTCGTCTTCTGCCGAGAGCTTGGCGTGGCCTCCATCATGTATGAGACTGCAAGCAATGCAGATGCGGAATCCTCTGAAACGCTGGACGTAGACGACGTGGCCTACTGCAACCGCCTGCGCTACGTGCGACAGCAAAGGCTGCACGCCCGAGAGATGCGAGAGGCGCTATTCTTATACGAGCAGAGAAAGAGTTCCAAGCAGCAGATAGAGACGAGGTCTGTAGACGACGTGAGTTTCCAGGAATTTTTCGAGTTGTATGCGGCGAAGACTCGTCCGGTGGTGCTGCAGCTGAAGGAGAACGAGAAGGACCCGGTGGCGCAACTGCTGGGACTGCACACCATCAGCGATGCAGAAGATGCCACTAGTCAGAGCACGATGGAGGAGTTTCTAAACGTCTGCTTTGGACAGGAGGCTGAAGAACGAAATGGATTTAAGGTGAGGCCGATGCGTGTGGGGCACGAGGCGTGTGCTGCGAGTTTGGACGCCACTTTCCGTGTGCCGATTTACATGACACACGACTACGTGCAACGCACGAATGCATCTCGATACGAAGCGTTCTTGCCTGCCGTAATAGATCTTACTCCTGTCAGCGCTACAGAGGTGGAAGCAGCTCCAAGTGCACGGGAGATCGTGGCGTGTCCGTATGGACTGCACTTGCTGGCGATCTCACTCAGACACGGTGATGCCACACGCATATCGATATTTGACCGCAAGTTCGAGCCGATCACGCATCCCTCTACAATGCAATACACGTTACGGGAAGTTGCGGTTGGAGCTGACGCTAATGTGGCGACAGGTTCAGTAGAGACGACGGTGTTAGACACGGATTATTTCCGGCGAGTGCCGGAGCTGTACAACGCAGTTGAACTGAAGTATGGAGATGTTCTCTTTGCCCCAGGCGGCGTCGTCTCGACAATGCGCTCAGTGACTTCATCATCGACTTCGAGAGGAACAAGACTACTCCGTTTCTGCTATTGTGATGCTGCCAATATTAAGGAAGTGAAGCAGTCTACTGGTCTAGATGCTCTGCTCATGACAAGTGAGAGCAAGGATGAGGGAGTCTATGCCTTGCTTCATGCTCTCCAAACTCCAGGCTTCGACCCCTCCTTTTCACGCCGCCCAACAGCCAATGATGCGACCTGGAGTACGTTCGTAAAGTGGCCACGTGACCCTGCGTACCTGACCAAGAAAAACCGGAGACATAGAGCCAATGGAGACGAGCACGAAGGAGAAGATGAGCAACTGTCGCGTCGTGAAAGGCTTAAACATTGGCAAGATGATAAGCGATGGGAACGATACATCGCGTCTCTCACGTTGCCCGTGGCGTGGCCACCTATTGTCGTTAATACGACTCGCACGACGGCCACGTTGCGCTGGCAGGAGCTCTATCAGCCACTGAAGCACGATCTTACCAGCTACGGATACGAGGTGAGCTGGAAGCGCGAGGATCAAGCTGGACAAGTGAAGGAAGAGGCTGTAAATGTGACCCACGATCAGCTATCGCGAAGTCGAATACCTTCGACTCTATTTGGGGACGATTTCGATGGACGTGACCTTGAAGCGGTGATCACTGGACTGCAAGCTGAGACTGCGTACTCGTTTTCAGTGCGTCTTGTTGTGGGGGAAGCTCAAGGTGCTACGAGTGGAGCTTCTCGTCGCGTTCTCACTAGTCCATGTGGTCCTCCTTCTCACATTCGCGGCGTTCCGGGGGTTGTCGGTATAGAAGAGACGTGTGTGAATTTACAGTGGCTTGACGCTGAGGACGACGGGGGCAAGAGGATTGAACTGTATCTCATATCGACAGAGAACTTACCAGAAAGAGGAGAGGAAGGAGACCTCAATACTGGCAGAGGTGCAGACAATGGAGCGCTAGTTCGTGAGCATGAGAAGGTCATCGCACTGAATGCCAGTGCTGGTTCCAACCAAGTTGCTCGAGAGAGGTTGAATTCTGGTGCTACGTGGCTATCGACAAGAGTCTGTGGTCTATTCCCCGGAGCTGCTTACACATTTCGTGTTGCTGCGATGAATGTGCTGGGCGCTGGCCATTGGAGTCATCGCAGTAGTCGCGCAGAGATTTCTCGTCCACATCGCCGACACACATCCACAGAGAATAGAGACAAAGCTCAAGTCCTCGCTATTCCGACGCTAAAAGGCGTGGGAGATTCTGGCTACACGGCTGTAAGTGGCGTCAATATCCTCTCGCAAAGTGAACTGTCTGCACTAATAGCCCAAGATCCGCATCGCATCCTTCGAGCCTCAGGAGTGCAAGCTGAAGACGAAACTTTGACACATGTGGTGCTCTCCGATTCAAGAGAACAAGTGCAAATATTGTCCAGTAACAACAGCGAAGGGGTCGTGGCAGTGGAGCACACCTTTGAAGCGTGGACGGGGCACTACAGTCCGCGGATGTTTGACGTGTCAGCGGAGTTGATTCTGGCTGATCCACCCGATGCTTCTCAGCCGTTGAGGAATTCTCATGCCGTTCGTGATCGAATCTTGCTGGCAGTGCGAGGAGGAGTGCCGTTTGTGTTCAAGGTACACCATGCACAGCGAGCGGGTGCTTTGGGACTCGTTCTTGCCGATGCAAACGGATATTGTGCGGGTGGATTTGACCAGAGTTGTGTGCCTGGATCCGATAAGAGACGCGGTGAAGGGTTTGCAGCTCGAGAGAAGCATATTTTGTGGGAACGAGCGCGTATTCCGTGCGTGTTGGTGCTGAAGGAGGCAGCACAGCAACTACTGGCACGATTCGACTCGGGAACTGGATCAGGCGAAATGGCTACATAGCTGGTTAGCCGACTTGGCTACATATAATTTACGATCGAGCGATCTGTCGCATGCACTACATGTTCATGTATAGTTGTGCACCTCCAATTCGGCAGGGCGGACCATATCAACAGTGGCAGGGCATAAGTGCACAACGTAAAGCAAAAAAACAAACGCAAATCCAGGGCACTGATATTTCATTTGTTAATTCAGTACAACATTTACGCCAATCTTCTGCGTAATCTTAACGTCAGACGCGCGAATCGCGGGCGAGCAACAGCGCTTCCGGTCGCGATAGGCGTCCGGCAAGGCGGCAAACAACGTCCGCCGACCGCTTAAGAATACTCTGGATGGTAGTGCGCTTCTCTGCTTGGGGGGTCTTAAAGCGCTCCGTTGCCCAACGAGCAAGCTCCGAGTGAGAGCATGCAGACTTGTGCTTCTCGCACAAAGACTGCTTTTGTGCTAGAGTTAGGGACATGTAGGAGGAAGGGCGATGTCCCATTGTCTTTGGCGGTAAAAATCAAAGTATGTGTTTGTATGAAGACGTCCGATCCAAAATTTAAAATCAGATCGATGCGGCGTGTCATCCCTCGGCGAGGAGGGGAAAACCGTTGAGGTTAATTGCTAGGGTGGTGGTGGGCAAAGGTATTAATAATTGCGCATCCGATTCGCATAATCATAAAATCTGGCAGGGTATCGACTGATACCGGTGCCGAATTGGAGGTGCACTGTATTGCATATTGTTATTCCTTTGTAATTACATGTACCGTATGTACGTTCTTAGAATCCAACTTACACTTACAGCATTAGGCAAGGACGGCTGCGCACAGTGGCAAAGCCAAGCTGAAGTGGGGGATGGCTACAAATCATGGCTAACAGTTGGCTACATTGTGATCCCGAAACGACGCGATCCGAGATATGTGACGTGTGCTAGGTCTACTTGCTTCATATTAGCGATCAGGACAGACTCTGTACTGTACTGCGCTTCATTTGACGCTGTCGACAGCTCACACCAATCGTAAGGCGAGGCTTTCGCCATTGCAAAGCAGAGCTCGTCCAGCTTTCTTTGCCATATCTCTTCGGTCGCAGGAGTCTCGACCTCTTCCGTCGTCCTTCCAGGCTGGCCGACCATTACCGTATCTTGCACTGCGTCCGGTCAGTTTGAAGGGCCTTTCCAGTTTTCCGATTCAGCTGGTGGTCATTGTCTCGGCTTGGAGATTGCCACTCACGTACACGCCACGCAACCGAGCGAATCCCAGCCCGTGACTGCAGGATGAATCCTGGCCGGCTTCCCACTTCAGCTGGTATGCAACAAGATAGACAGCCAGGAACCGACAGCGGTACAGAACTAGGTCGCAATCATAGCGGATTTCCCCATGGGAACAACGACCTCTCGACGGTCGCTAGCAACAGTAGACCGGAGTGGCGTCGAGACGAGCACGGGCGATTCATGCAGGCGTTGGAACTCTATGGCTCGAGACGGACAGGAGACGAGTGGAGACTCATCACTGCTTTCGTGGGTTCACGTACTATTGAGGAAGTGCATTTACACGGGCGACAATATCTCCAGCGACTAATTCAGTCATTACCCTCTTCTCCCGAAGCGACGAATGCAGGTCGCTACCTATTCAGTGCAGGCAGTCAGAATGACCCAAACCGACAGAACTACCAGAACTACCAGGTATCCAGAGGTGTTGGTCCTCAGAAATTGAGAGTCAGTAAGAGGCCTGTTCCAGTCCCAACCGGGGGTACTAGCGCTTTGAGTGCCGCCGCATTAGAGTGCGCTCAGTCCATGAGTGTTCAACAATACCACAACCAGCAACTGCAGTACCAACACCACGCAGGTATCGCTGCTTCACATCGGAATGGGCGGAGATCTAAGCCCTGGACATTCCATGAAGAAAAAGCTTTCGAGACAGTACTAGCAGGTTGGGCCGGAAGTAAGTCATACCCTTGGGCTCGAATTGCAGCGGCCATACCGGGCAAGACTGCTAACGACGTTCGTAGTCGCTACGAAGAAATGGTAGGAGAAATCGCCTCCATCGAGTCTGGGGAGGTTCCGGCATCTGAAAACCCCAAGCTAAACAATGTTCCTAGAGGCCAAACAGCTGTGCGGCCTCATGGTTTAGCGTCCACGCTCAGCCAGCGTGCAGTTCCACCCCCACCGATTGAGGTCCCGCCTAGAAGTGTAGGCAAAGGTGAGGTTTTGAAGCTGAAACATGAATCTGTACGTGCTAGAATCTTACGTGTGATTCGCATGATTAGATGGGGCATCAGAGAGTAGCACGCGTAGCAGAAGAGGTTCCGCGAGCGGGATCACTATGCTTAGTCCGACATTTCTCGACTATCTGGCGAGAGAAGCTGAAAGCGAAGAAAAGTCATCACTCCCGGCGCTACAATTACCGTTCCCGGGATTAACAAACTTACCGTCCCCTTTGTTCTCGCCGACACTGCTGCCAACAGGATCTCCTGGTTTCTTCAGTCCTGGCAACAAAAAATCGGCAGCTCGTGGCCAGCAAGGCAAAAAGCTGTCGAGCTCAGATGACGTTAAGATGAACGAAATAGACACTGGACCGACACCTGCGGTGAACAAAAGCGAAACCCTTCGACGCTCCTCAACTCCGCGGATATGGAACGAATTTCTCGCAGGTGATTTCAAGCTCGACGACACACCCAGAAGGAAAACGCCACGATCAAAGAAATCACATGATAAAGGATCCAAAGGTAACGCAGAGAAACGAGAAGACATCGAGATGCCTGATGCTTCTGCCGCCTGAGAGAAGAGCGAGTAAACAAGCAGGTGCGTGCGAGATAAACACTGTAGCGTTGTTAATGGGGCGACACTTTGAACTTTCGGGGTTTGCACGTGAATGTACTTCCATTGCTACCTACAACCTTCTCGCAAGGGGGTCGATCGGTTATCTACTACTTCAAGAAGTACTCTCTACCGGTCCTACTCGCTCGACTAACTACTAACTACTGCCTACTACTACTCCTACCGTGACCGACTCCTAATTTCTACCTTTGGCGCTAGCTGCTTCTGCTTCGTAGCCTACGTTTTGTGGTCATCTTCCCCCATCTACTTCGTCATTTTGGTGCCCCCTCCACAGTTGCTCGCTTTCTACAAGTTGAAGCGAGTGGTTAGGAACTGTCGTAAAGGCTCCGGGAAGCTCGCAAAGTACGCGGCCCAGTTCTCGCCCAGACTCGACTTGAAGCCGTGCACGATCTGGTACAACATATCCTTCAGTTCCGCGTTCTGGATCTGCTGACCTTCAAGAGAAGCGATGGCACCACACATGAACATAAAGTCAGCGACGATGCCGTTCGGGTTCGCCTTGACCATGTAGCACAGGCCTAAGAAGCAGTGCTCCTTCTCCTCTGGTGCGCGGACGTGAGCGAGAGCGCGGCACCAGCGCTTCGCGAACTCATGCAAGTGGGGCGCCACCACGTTCGGGCACACGTATCCGAGTCGGCCGATCGTGATCGCGCAGTTCTCCACCAAGTTACGAGGCAGCTTGGGGCGGTTGATCATGCTGATCAAGCGGCCCAAGCAGTTCTCGACGTACGGCTCCATCTCGGCTCCGATGCGAATAGCGATCTCGCCCACCGACCAGCTGGCGTTGTTGCATACAGTAGCAAGGTCCGGATCGATGTTCTCGATCAACACCGGCAGCAGATCTCCAAGACTGGGACGGAGAATGTTCGGCGCGTGCTTGGCCAGGTCGCCCACTACGCCCATGGCACTTTGTCGCACGTCCATCACGTCGTGACGCACGCAGCTCATAAGCACATTCAGGATATTGGAGCCATTCAACAGCGCCTCGCTGTTGTTCTGCAGACCTTCGATCATGCCCGAGATCAGATCCAGAGCGCACACAATGAGCTCCGGGTCGCCCTCGTCGAACTCGTTGGGACTTTGCTCCGACATGGCGTCGGCTAACAGCTCATTCTCCACGATACGCTGACAACGAACGTACACGTTCATGGCGAACTCCTGGAAGCCGTTGCCCAGTGCCTGAGCCACGGGCGCCAAGCACTCAAACAGCGGGAGGATCTCGCGACTGCGGTCTTCCAGGGCGTTCCACTTGGCAATAAGCGGAGGCATGAGGATCTTGATCAGCTCCAAGTGGTTCAGATGTTCACCGATCGAGTCTGCAAGCGTTCCGATGGCGTCGTACAAGATCAGCAGGTTTTTAGCCTGGTACTTGCCGAAAGCAAACATGAGGTTCTGTAGAATAGGCGTCAGGTACGGCACCAGCTCCTCGCGAGCTTCCTCTTCTAGCGTGCAGAACGCAGAGCATGCTGCCTCCTGCACCTTCTTGTGTGGGTCGAGAATGCGCTTCAACATACCCTCCACAAGAGGCTTAAACAGCATTTCGTGGTTGCCCTGTTCAACGACCCACGTAGCGTAGCGACTCAGCGTCCAGCACGTGATACTACGGATAAGCGGGGCGGGGTCCTCTAGTTTCTGCAGTAGGAACGGGTATAATTGTGGCAGGTGAGGAGTGATACCGTTGTAGCAACCATCGGCGATAGCTCCAAGCGCCAAGATGCCGCTCTCCACAAGTGGCCATGGCTGCTCCTGTGCCAAACGCTCCTGCAGTAGAGGCAACAGTGTCGGAAGAATGTCATTCCCGTAGCCATTGGCCAGGTTGTCGAGACTTGCGGCCGAGCAACGACGCAAGTTCCACTCCAGCATCGAGTCGTCATCGTCATCGTCATAATCGTCGTCCTCATCGTCATCGTCGTCATCGAGGCCGCCTCCTTCGTGGCCACCGCCGGCCTTGCGATGAAAAATGGGCTTGATGTCCTCAGGTCGGTCGGGCACGTTCTCATTCTGGTTCTGTTCCTCTGCCTCGAAGTTGGCCAAGTCTTCCTCACTGTACACCATGCGCTGAAACAACAGCGGCACAATCTGGGCCAGATACGGCTGCAACATGGGTTTAATGTCGTTGAACTCACGCAGATCGCAGAAAGATGCCCAGAACTCGCACGCCTCGAGGGCTACGTTCTCGTCCTCGTCCTGGTTGGCCCGCAGGATGAACTGGATGATGCTGTCAAGGTGGGGCACGAGATACTGCACGCCCACCTCCAGCAAGATGACGATACTCTTGCACACGAGCCTACGTACGTCGTTGGACGGGTCCTGAGTGAGCAGTGAGATCCCGGCCAGGAAGTTCTCCATCTGCACCACAAGGCCCACGGGCATGTAGATCAGCACGTTGTTGAGACACTCCAGCGCGTCACGACGAAAGTTGGCATTCTGGTGGTGGAAATACTGAAGCAGCTTGGGCACCAGCACGTTGAGTGGGCGGCTAGGCGAATTCTCGAGCTTGGCCGCCGAGTCCTCGCAGATCTTGACAAGCGCACCGAAAGCTCCAGCCAAGGCGTTCTCGTCCTGCTGCTCCAGAAGCGCATGTAGCGCGGGCATGAGCTCGGGCCACTCGTCTAGGAAAGTGTATTGGGACACAAAAGTGGTGACGATGGAGCCGGCCGCGTTGCGGATGGGAGACAGCGGGTCGGCCAGAATTCGCAACGTCTGCGCGCGGATAACGGCGAGGATTTCGGCCTCGGTGGGGGTGAGCACAGCGCTGGCGTCGCGGGCCTTGATATTACGCTTGAGCAGAAGTCCGGCCAGCTGGCGCACGTTGGGCTCGGCTTGTGCGGAGCAGAGCAAATGAACCAGGTAGAGATTAAACTCAAGGTTCTTCTGGAACTGCTGCAGACGCTGGTAGGACTCGCGCTGCACCTGGTTGTTGGGCACCATGTAGGCCTGTAGGAGCGCCACCACCTCATTAAGTAGCGCAGGCTGTGGCTGCCACGTATCGCTCATGGTCGACGAGTCAGGCTTGGTCTTCGATCGGCTTTTAGACTTCCGGCCGCTTTTTAGGTTCCCTGACCGCTCGATAGCGTTGTTGTTTTTGGAGTTTAGATAGGCAGGAAATGCAGATATACAGAGGTAATACCGACGGCCAGGAGACGCTGCACGCGGGGAGAAAGAGACCAAGCGACGGACCGACGGAGCTACTACTGCTGTGCCCACGAAATGAAGGAGAAGGCCGCCCAACCAAAGGGATGAGGAATTCGACCAATGAGCGATTCTATCTTCTTTTCAACCAATCACAGGCACATTCCGGAGGACGGCAAACCTGAGTCATCATGCGGTTGACGAGCAAGTCGGGGTGGACAACATTCATTGCCTGATAGAGTGCCTCGAACAAAGCCGTCTTACTGAGTAAATTGCATTGATCGACAGCAATGCTGCTTCAACTGTCTCTATGTAAGTGATAGCTTTGAAAACGACGATGGAATTGTGGACATCATTCGCGCTTACAGTGCCACCAAACATGTTGGTCGCTTGTGCTCGGCGTGGTAGATTGAAGACTGATTGAATTTAGTTGTTATGTAAAATGCATTCTCTCCTTCGAGAGGTTTCCTAACTGCTCATCCTGTTCACCTTCTCTGCTGACGCTCACCTTCTCATGAATGACGAGATCTTCACCATCTCATCCGCGTGCGTGACTCCTCAGCGTCTCTTGGTCTCATGTAGATCTTTTGTGAGTTCCGACACTCCTTCCCGGGCGATCATCCTGACAACATCACCAGTTCACGCAGCTCCTTGAGGCGTGGCGCGGGGAGAACCTTCGTCAGGATATCTGCACGCATCTTCACGGACTCACAATACTGCACCCGTAGCACGTTCTTTTGTACGAAGTCCTTCACAAACTTGTGACGCGTGTCAATGTGCTTGGCACGTCCGGACGAATCCTCTCCCTCCAACTGAGCTATTGCAGCTTGGTTGTCGACATGAAGCACTGACGGCTCCATTAGCTTTAGTCCTACCTCTTTGAGACATTCCATGATGCCCAGCATCTCCGCAGTTGTCTGTGATGCTGCCACGAACTCTGACTCCATGGTCGACAGTGCAACGCACGCTTGCTTCTTGCACAGCCATGCTACTATCACTCCTGCAACCATTAGTACTCCTCCTGTTACAGACTTCCTGTCTTTCTTGTTGGACGCGTAGTCTGCATCGCTGAACGCTTCCACCAGCACCCCAGCATTGTTCATTGTGTTCTTGTTGGTGTTCATTAGTGTAACGGGGTACGTAGCACTAAGTGTACCCTGGTTACATGAAGTGTGACACTTCACACTTCAGGAGTATGACATGTCATACTCCGGAATATTTGGTACAAGGTACCAAGGTCATTCAAAACCAACCATTGGTTAAATGACATTGCATTTCTATAGGTAACTGATAGTTTGTATTAACCACAAACTTAACCTACCTATAAATATACTCAGTTTACAATCTACCTTATTTAGGTCACTTCCCTCTCTTTAATTAAAGAGGGGACCTGTGAACTGCCGTTCACTGAGAGTTTGTATACTCTCGGAAGATAACTTCCTCTAGCGCAAGGTGCTGTGTGACCCCGTCACACTTGGTAGCACCTGTAGTCAATCCACGCCATCGCGGGTAGACTACCTGAACCTCCGAAGTTCGTTGCCATGGATAGGAACGACTTCTCCCATATGAACGACTCTCAGTTCGAGTCGGTTCGGAAGATGGCAGGCATCTTCGGGATGGAGGCCCTGCAGAGCCTGGTGGTATCAACACCGGCTGAGCAGCTCGAGCGCGTCAATGCATTCGACGCGTACGAGCAGGGCCTCATCGCGCATGTGCGGGAGAACCTGCAGGCTCCGGCGGCGGGAGCAAACCCGCCTCACCCGAAGCCAATACGGCTGAAGGTAAAGCCGTATGAAGGGAAGGAAGGCGAGAACCTTCACTTCTGGGTCCGAGAAGTAGAGCTCGCGATGGACGCGGCTCTGATCTCGACCGAGCAACTGCGTGTTGCTTTTGCACTCTCCAACCTTAGCGGTCGTGCTAAGAGTTGGGTGTACACTCGGGAAGCGACATCCCCTGGATGTTTCACATCCTGGGCTCAGCTGTGCGAACAGCTCCGAGCCGCGTTCCTCCCGGCGAACTACGAGTACCGCCAGCGTTCGCGCTTCCTCGCGTGTAAACAAGAAAGACGCGAACTGCACGAGTATGTGCAAGAGATACGGGAGCTCACGGCGTCCCTAGTGGGAAACCCACTCAATGAACACATCAAGATGACTGTGTTCATGGACGGCCTTCGAGTGGGCCCCGCACGCACTCAGCTGTTCCGGGTGCAGGCAAGCACCCTTGAAGAGGCGATTCAAGTAGCTCTTCAAGAAGAATACAGCCATCGCCAGGCGCGTACGCCGGCCTCAGCGTGGCCTGGGAGTTCCTTGTCGGCTCCCGGTCGAACAAGCCCCAACGGACCAGTTCCCATGGAACTCGGGTCCGCCGAACAGCGTGACATCCGCTGCTTCGGCTGTGGGAAGATGGGCCACTTCAAGCGCGACTGTCCCGCGGAAAGACTCCGCAGACGGTCCTTCCCCAAGCCCGTCCTCAAGGGTCGCTGGCAGAAGCCAGGATCCCGGGGACAGGGGAACGCAGGGAACCAGTAGGGGCGGGGCGCCCTACTGGGGAAGAACTAAGTCTTCGTGATGGGTGCGCGGGTGGCGCGTACCACGGGGACTTAGCCCCTGAGAGTCTTCGCACTCTCGAATCGGCGAAGAGCAGCGGCGGGTTGCTCGTAGTACACGGATGTGTACGGGGTTACGATCACCCCTTTAGAATCTTGATTGACTCTGGGGCGTCGAAGAATTTCGCACGCCGCCAGACGGTTGCTCGTAACAGCAACAAGTTGTCCGAAGCTTTGCGAGAAAGCAAGGGCAACGGGACGGTGTCAGTGCGACTGGCCGACGGGAAGGTCGTCACTGTCCCCAACGTCCAAGTGGATCTGGCTGTCAAGTTTGAAGACTTTGACAGCCTCGAACAGCTCACTGTTCTCGATATGGATCCATATGATATGATCCTGGGCATGCCCTGGCTTGAGAAGCACGAGCCCTGGATCGACTGGCGAGGCAAGGCAATCGGTGCCAGCCGCCCTGCGCAGTCCGACAGAGCATTGGTGAGTCATGTTCCCACCTCTGTCAGGACCCGGGGCGCCCGCGAGGGCTGCCAGGGTACCAAAGCATCCGGCAGATGCTTGGGAGTCGTCGACGTATATGACGACTCCGAGGATGTTTTGATGGTGGCCGCGCCCAGAAGAGGCGCCGGCCAAGTGGGTAACTTAGGTCCACAGGCGGGTAACTTAGTTCCGCAGACAGCTGCAGCTGTCATGAACACTGAGAACAGCGTGTTCAGAGTGGGTAACAGAGTTCCACTCACGGTCGCCCAGACCATAACTGAAGAGGAAGACGTCGGATACGCTTCCTGTGTGGGTAACACAGTGCCACACGCGGTCGCCCAGACCTTAACTGAAGAGGAAGGCGTTGAACACGCTTCCTGTGTGGGTAACACAGTGCCACACGCGGTCGCCCAGACCTTAACTGAAGAGGAAGGCGTTGAACACGCTTCCTGTGTGGGTACAACAGTACCACACGAGGCCACGAGTGCCTCGGATGTCGTAGCGACGACATCCCTAGACGTGGGCAGCAAAGCTCCCCGTCACAGAAGCCGTCGGCAAAGACGCCGCCGCCGCCTCAAGTCGGATCCGAACTTCGTTCCGATCGACGTCGCTTCAAGCGACTCGGAGTCCAGGGCCCGGGCTCCTCCGACAAGGCCGGTGGAAGAGTGCTATCACATCTTCGATAGCGAGACGGGTTTACCCGTCAAGGCATCTGGTGTCCACTTGGAACCGTTGCCAGAGGTTGCAGAGATACTGAACCTCGAGGAAATGACGGCTGAGTCTTTCCTGGCCAGCCTCAAGGCTGGAGAGATCGCTGAGATGGTACTCATAAGACCTGAGACCACTCAGGAGGAGCTGAACTCCTCCTCTGTCTTGGACGAGAACGTCCTGGAAGACATGAACAAGCAGCGTCAGGCGCGCTTGGGTTCTGAGATTCTCAAGAACCCCAAGGATCCGGTGTATCCTTTGGTGACGGAGTATGCGGACGTGGTGAATAAACACCCACCGACCCAACTCCCACCGGATCGAGGCGTACGGCACGAGATTGATCTCGTGCCCGGCACAAAGTATTGTGTCACGAGGCAATGGCCTCTCCCGCGCGAACAGTGCGAGGTCATTGATGCCTTCTTCGCCGCGAAAGCGAAGGCAGGCATGGTGCGGGAGTCGAAATCCCCGCACTCGACGCCGACTTTCTGCGTTCGTAAGCCGAACGGAAAGTGGCGTCTGGTTCACGCTTATAACAAGCTGAACAACGCAACGGTGCCGGCCCAAACACCGATCCCACGAAAGGATGTGTTGTTGAACAACATGGCCGGGAGCGTACTGTACAGTGCGCTGGATTTGGTAGACGGATACTACCAAATCCTGATGCGAGAGAGTGACATCCCGCTCACCGCGGTAAGCACTCCAAGCGGCATGCTTTGGGAGTGGCTCGTCATGCCGCAGGGCTTGTCTAACGCCCCGGCGACGTTCAATCGCCTGGTGACGCAATTGTTCCGCCCTTTGCGTACCTTCGTACAGAAGTACTTCGACGACATTTTGTCCTACCGTGCGAGGAGCAGAGACAGGAGTGCTTAGCACTCGTCGATGTGGAGGAGGGGACAGTTAGCCACTGAAAGCTTTGCTCCGGAACAATTTGGGTTGTTTTTAAAACCAGGGGGTTCTGGGGCGTTCCAAAGCCCGAAGACAGATTGGCAGAATCTCCCGGAACACCGCGCGGGGCCGCAAACACCCCCCTCTTTCGCACAGAGATATTTTCTGAAAAAAATGTTGGGGGTTTTGGCCACAATTATCTCTGCCACACATAAACAGAGGCGGGGGTTGGCGGCGTTTTTTCCTAAAGACCTCTTTGCGAATCTCTCTCACAGAGACCCTTTCAATGGGCCTGGGGAAAAACATTCAACTGGCGCTGGGAGCAAGAGCACCAGGATGCTTTTGACAGCATCAAGGCCAGTCTT